CTGCAGGGTTACAGGTATCCATTCTGGATAGACTTCCCTGTACACCTTTCCTCTTGCACATGCTAAAACTTTGTGCCTTCCCTTTGTTCTACCACAATAAAGCTTAGTGGATGAAACAGTAGTTAAGGTACATTTAATCTTTTCACCATTTATTCAGTACCTATTATGTTTGCAAGGAACTGTGCTATGCCCTGGGGGGTAAAAAGGAATCAAGAATTGAAGTCATCCTCAACAAGTTCACACTCGGGCAGGGAGACAGACATTTAGATTAGTGGGTCTCACAATTTGCACCTGGAAGCTTTGCAAAAAAAGCTGATGCCTGGGCCCACTCTAGACCAATTAAATAAACAATGTCTAGGCTCGCAGGAGAGGTCCAGGGGGTAAATAATTAAGTGACACTAAGTGGTGTCATTAAGTGTGCTAAGGGAGGGAGTAACTAGTTGTAACTGAGAGGGAACTGAGGAAGATGTATAGGAAAATGACATTCAAGTGTGACTACAAAGGATGAGTAGGATTTTGTGCGACAAACAAGGAGTGGGGTAGAAGATTCCAGTCAAAAGGGATAAAGGAGTTGAGAGGCCTGTGTGAGGTACAGAAAATAAGAGTTTCTGCCATTGAAGAACTAATCATGGGAAGATGGCACTGACATAATTCTGAACCTGTGGTAAGAGTGACCCACAAAAGGTGTAGAATGCTCTACCAGCTTGGAAGAGCAAGGATGCTCATCTGAAGAGGCCAAGCCCCCCAGTATATGGTACTTGCTCTTTCTCCTACCTGAAAATAAAACATGTTAATAACCCACACTTTCATGTTTTATGTTTTCAATCAGCAGTTTTAGCTTCAGGTTTGTTATCTGAGGGCCCAGTAACAATGGTCCTCCTGCCTCATTACCATTTGATAATTGTTTTGAACTACCCTTGCCGTAAGACCTTACTTTTTGACCCGCCCTTATTTTCACTTAGAAGTCAATGAATCCAAGATTTCTGATTTCCATCCTAGTCCCCTCTGGGGTGAAGGGGAGGAGTGGTGAGCAGGTGGTTATGAGTCTGTGCACAGGTGTGGGTGTGGATGTAGCCTGAGCATCCAGCTGCAGACCCACAGTTTCATGTAAGTTTTGGGGTTTGCATCCTATCTATTGCCTCCTCCTCCTGATGTATCACATTAAACCACAATGGTGAAGCATCCATACTGCTAGTGGGTCAGGGATAGGGCCCGAGAACCCAAAGCTGATTAAGATTATTCTATTCCCCTTGGATATTTACTAGCCAGGGATTTTTCACTCAACCCAGGCATAAGGCAATCATCTGATGCATTCCAACAGCCTAGTGACTGATTGGCCAGGAATGGGCACAGGACTTAGCTATTCCAATTGGAGAGAAAACTCTTTCCCTTTTTTTTGGATGGGAGTGAAGAAACATGTAGACCCTGGAGTCTCTGGCAGCCATTGCACTTTGAACATACTGTGATATTGTCGATATATTCCCACACTGCACCAACACATTCCATTATTGTATAAGTCTATCTATGGTAGATTATTTATAAATGTGGCCACTGACAAATTCTTCATCCCTTTATGAATGAGGTCCTCTTCCCACCAAGAAGTGAAATCTATTCTGCCCCTCCCTTGAACCTGGGCTGTCATTGGAACTTACTTTCCCCAATAGAATGCGACAGAAGTGATATTCTGGGACTTCCCAGCTCAGGTTTTCAGCAGTGGTATCTCGTCTTCGTTGACCCTCTTGGGAGCCAGCTGTCACGGAAAGCAGCTCAGGCCAGACCACTAAACAATGAGAAACCATGGGAAGAGAGAGGGGCCAACCTGCTCCCAGCCACCCAGCTCAAATGCTGACATATGACTGAAGCCATCTGAACCAACACCAGGTGGAGTAGAAGAACCATGTCACCAAACTACAGAGTCTTGAGAATTAATAACTCATGTTATTTAAGCTCCTCAGTGTGTGATGGCTTATTATACAGAAATAAATGATTCTCAGGGTGGGTTGGGTTTTCTGTTATTTAAATGGAGTCTTCACTGGTTTGTTTCCATAGGCTTAAAGTTAAGATGCTGTCAGCCACTAGTAACCAAAAAATCCAACTAATAAAGATATTTATTATCTTCATGATATGTAATCCTGTGTTAGGGCCACAGCAGGATTGGTTAATGGTTCAATGGTTTTATTAAGGACCCATGGTCTTCCCACTTTCCACGCTGTCATCCCCAGAGTTCCTCAGGTGACCTCCTGTCATGGATGTAAGAGGCTGCAAAAGGCCAGACATCACATCCAGATACACAACATCTAGCAGGAATTAAGGAATATTTCTCCTTTCTATGCCTTTTTAAGAGGCAACTTTCCCCAACATCAGGATTCATTAGCTTAAACTTGTTTTAAACTTAGTACAGGAAAAGTGGAGTTACCAAGATTAGCTTACATGAACCAGTTTACCCTAGCCATGTAGGAAGTGGACACTTGGACCAAGGTGGGTTTCTGCCAGCAAGAAAAAAGGGCATGGTTGCTGCACTGGTAACCATGGTATCTGCTACAACATGAAATTAACATTTACCATGGAATGAAACAGACACTCCTGAAAGACAGGCAGCCTTTACCCAGCAGCCTTAAATGATCTCCGCTTCTGTTCTTCAACACATCTACCCCATCCGAATGTCAGTTTGCAAGGTAGAAGGCTACTCAAAACCCCACTCTAGCAGTTAGGGTCCTGGCAGGAAGCAGAAGGCATTCTTGGGCGAAGATTTGGAAGAGAATGTGAAGGGACCATTTGCTGCAGTGCAGTCATGGTTCAACAGCTCATCAAAGGATGCTGTTACCCAGGGACCAGCAACAATGGGAGGCAGACATCACTTCCCCAGGCTTAAGAGGCATGGGGCAGAGAACTATAGCACCTGGAGCCTGACATGATGCAATGGAAAAGGAAGCCCAATAAGAACTGTCCTCACAGAGGCATACAGATCTGCCAGACCCCTGTGCTGTCAGGACAGAAATACCCCAGCCTCTCTCTGTGGGCTCCAGGCTGTAGCTGCCACCCCTTTTGGCGAAGAGCCATTAATAATGCCTATAGGCCTTTGGGGCACAGAGCAGGGCAGAGAATAGTTTTGGACAATGAGTAGAGAATCAATTAGTTAATTGACCAAAAACTGGAACATTGTATTGAAGTAAAGTAGTTCAGAATCCAGATAGTTTAGTCACTGTTGCCATTCACTAATACTCATTTCTAATCATCTGTGGCTAATTCAAAGCATGTCCAATACTGCTTCTCTTCTACAGCCAGTCAGGGGAACATTCACATTCAATTGCATGTCTGCCCGGGTCACGAGCCCTGCTCCTTAGAGGCTTGCTAAAGGTGTTGTTCATGCCTCTGTGATGATGACCTGTGAGAGAAGGGAGATTGTAAACAAAGTACATCAATTAATTCAAGGCTGACTGTGTAGTTGAAGAGAGAGTTTGTTTCACTGTGGGGAAAACAGAGACGTTCCCTAGGATTGAAATCGCGGTGTCTGTGCGATGGAACAGCTCTCAGGTCTGGTTCAGAGCTGACAGCACCAACTGTGTGCCCCGGGAAGTGGAGGCAGTGCAAGCCTGGAGTTTTCACCCTGCTCCGGGCTGGGCCTCCTGGTGGCCTGCCCAAGCAGAGCCTGGGCAGATGCGGAAGCTGGACCAGCCCGACCGGCAGAGGGCTGCCCGCTGGGGCCGGCGGCTGGTGTAACAGGTTCTAAGGCTGACTCCAAACCCCCCACGCTGCCGGACAATCAGGGTCTGGAGACTGGGGGCGGGAGGCCAGGGCTAGGGATCCGGTCGTGGTTCCGAAAGGAGCACGGATCCCAGGGGGGAGACCCTGTGCTTACCTTCGCTCAGCCAAGAAAAGCTGCACGACCTTGGGCAGACAGACCCCTGAGCCACACCTCCGCCCAGTCTCACCCGAAGAGCAGGAAGGGCCGCACGTCGCTGCTGGGCTCCCAAGGGAGCGCGACCCGGATCAATGAGACCCGAGTCCCCACCCATGTCCCCTCCCTCCGCGGGCACCCTCCGGGTACCTTCGCGATCTCTCTCCCACCCGCCGGGCCTTCAGTAGAAACATGAAAGTTTTGGGTCGGAGTGCGGCAGGGGCCCGGTACGCCGCCCGA